AAAAAAAAAGAAAAGTAGATAAATAAACAATCGAGAAGAAAAGAAAAGGACGAAAGATAATCTAGCTATTATTACTATAACGAGTAAGTTGCTTTAAGGACATGTTTCCATTAGCTGCATTGATTAATAAATATGGGAAAGAAACAATTGTCTGATAGGCAACAAAAGTAACCATGTTGTCATTCGACTGTCATCATTGTTGTTGAATAAGAATAGACAAACGACAAAAGAACTAGACAGATATAAGAAAAAGAAAGAAGAAGAATAGAAGCAAAATATCTATATAGATAGATAGAATGCAACAAAGACAAACATGTCTGCATATGTTTGAAATTATCTATCAGTTTTCCACTTGAGATGGACAGGTGATTATAAAGAAAATAGAAACAACGAACGATTGACTTTATTACGAACAAGTGTAATAATAATAATACAATCTTCCACTTGATGTGTGTATATATATATGATATACTTAAATAACGACGAACTAGTAAACCCAAGAGAACAAAAAAAAAGAAAGGACATGCATATTAGTAAAAAAAACGCATCGTTATTCAATGTACATTGTGTATGGGACTGTTGACATGCACGGTCGCCTGCTCAGTTTGCTACTATCGGTCTAATCAAAGTAATCGAGCACATTATCGCAAGCACATCTATAAAGTTCTTAAGAAGGGTAACAACGATGATTTTTTTGACAAGATCATCAATAATATAGCAAATCATTCTTTATCGCTTCGTTCTTGTAGCATATGATGATATGCTCTTGATTTACACACGTATTTCTTTTGTGTATGTTATGTATATGTATGTATTTGTATGGAATAGCAGTAGCATTGCTAGTGGCAAATAACAAGCCAATTTTTGTCGTTTCTTTGTCGCCCGAGTCGATTTCTGTTGGATAATGTTGTTTACCCGTTCTCCGCCTTTTTCTTCGCCATCGGTATCATCTTCAGTAGAAAGCGAATCATCACCAGCACATACCGCATCCATTTCCAATAGTCGACATGTTGAAAATCACCAACATACCGGTTATTCATTGACTAACACTACATTTACCACTAATGGTCCATCAAATAATACATTATTATCGACTAGTGAATCTCATTACTCTCAATTGTCCGATCAAGATAGTTTCTATTCTCTTTTCTCAACTTCATCATCATCGTCTCCTTCAATTCCACTAACACCAATCAAAACAATAACACATATTAAACTATCGAATAATATACATCAACATAATTCATCTTCTATTCATAAAAAATTAAAACGTTTTTATCGACTAAAAAGTACATCATCATCATCATCATGTATTCATAATGTACTCATGACTAAAATGCCGACAATAAATCCAGATACACATCATCCAGATGATTTATCTCATTTATCGAAAACAGCTATATGGTCACATAATACTAATACACCAATAGTCAATCCTGTTGCTGCAGCTGCTCTTGTCAAAGACAATGAATTGGTAACACTTGAAGAGCAACTAACTAGATCTCTTACACCATCTCCACAAGATACACCAAAGCATAATGAACGTTTATGTCGATCATCAATGAATTTTTCTTCAAATCTATTTCCATCTAATATTCATGTCAATCGTAAAGTCGTATTAAACATCGGTGGTGTTAGACATGAAGGTAATTATAATAGAAAAAAATCTGTATTAATATTAATTTTTCTTTAATATATAGTTTTATGGCGTACACTTTCTCGTCTACCAAATACACGTCTAGGTCATTTAGCAAAATTACGTAAAATAACATTACATTCAGGACGTTCAATGTCATATGATGAAGTAATGCGTTTATGTGATGATTATGATCCAATAACAGGAGAATATTTTTTTGATCGTCATCCACGTACATTTACATCAGTGATTAATTTTTATCGTACAGGAAAACTCCATTTAATAGATGATATATGTGTTATATCCTTTCATGATGAATTATTCTATTGGGGTATTGATGAGTATTATTTAGAATTATGTTGTCAAAATAAATATCATCAAAGAAAAGAACATGTACTTGAAGAAATGAAAAAAGAAGTTGATTTATTAGAAGTTGAAAAAGAAGAACATACTGGTGAACGATGGTGTGATCATACACGAAAAAAAATTTGGGATTTAGTAGAACATCCACATACATCAAAAGCTGCAAGAGTATGTTTCTGTTTTATCTTTGCTTTATATATATAATCTGATATGATTATCTAATTTAGATTATTGCATTTGTTAGCATATCTTTTATTCTTCTTTCATCATTTGCATTAACAATAAGTACTATTGAAGGTATTGGATGTGCACCAAATATAACTGAAACAGAAGTAATAAATAGCAATATTCCAACTTCACTTGATGCTGATGCTGTTCATATTGCTGCACAAGCTGCAGCACGTGAATTAGCTTCTGAACATCATGATAGTGTTGCAGATTGTCGTGAACCATTATTTTTATTTATTATTGAAACACTTTGTATAACATGGTTTACAGTTGAATATGTTATTCGTGTATTTACAACACCAGATAAATGTAAATTTTTTAAAGGTGTTTTAAATACAATTGATCTTATTGCTATTGTACCATTTTATGTTTCAATTATACTTGAAACATTAGATACCGGACATTTTAAAAATATAAAATCTGTTCGTAAAGTTGTACAAATATTTCGTGTATTACGTATAATGCGTATACTTAAATTAGCTCGTCATTCAACTGGTTTACAATCATTGGGTTATACATTAAAACGAAGTTATAAAGAATTATCAATGTTATTAATGTTCTTAGCAATATTTATATTATTATTTTCCAGTTTAGCTTATTTTGCTGAAAGAGAAGGTAATGCTATACAATTTCGATCTATACCACATGCATTTTGGTGGGCAAGTATTGTAAGTTATTTTGTGAAAAGATTATTCAGTTTAATTTTGTTTTTGATTTTTGTTTTATAAGACTATGACTACAGTTGGTTATGGTGATATCTATCCGAAATCTGTATGGGGTAAATTAATTGGTGCAGTATGTTGTGTTTGTGGAGTACTTGTCATTGCTTTACCAATCCCAATTATTGTTAATAATTTTGCTGAATATTATAAAGAACAATTACGTCGTGAGAAAGCTTTAAAACGTAAAGAAGCTATTGATCGTGCAAAAAAAGATGGTTCAATTATGTCAATTCAATCGGAATCGACATCAAATTTATTTCATACTGAATTTAATGCACGTCGTTTAAGTGCATGGAAAACTGTTGGAAATCCTCCGCCAACAACAAATGATGAACCCTTACATGATTCATCATGTTATGATAAGAAAACACCAGCACCATCATTATTACATATTCCACATACAGTTGATCTTTATCCAGATGTCAATGACAATAATCATCGACGAATAATAACAGAAGAACAAGATATTGATTTCAAAGAAATATTAATTAAAAAACAAGATGTTCCAATAGACCATGAACAAAAACAAAATCTTTTAAATACATAAAGAAGTTTTTAGTATAGAGAAGAGAGAAAAAAAACGCACGCTCAATATATATTTTATTTTTTATTGTTTTCATTTATTCCCTTATTTAAAAACAGAAAAAAAGTGTATATTAAATGAAGATTAATACTAAACAATCGTGTTTAGATTCATTGAAAGAATAAAATGTTAATTGCCTGTTAAAAAAAACTTTATCACTGTGAAACAATCTAATGAATGAATGAATGACCAAATCGATTTTTACAACGTTCAAAGTCAATGGATAAAAAAAGTGTCGCAGGAATGAATAAATTTCATAAAATCGATGTGTCAGAAAAAAGAAGTCGATAAATAGAACTAAATAAACGTGCTAACAACTTTGATATTATCCAGAATACTCTTCATTCTTATTAAAAAAAATCTGTTCTTTATCGTCGTAATATTCATTAGCCCGTTGCTGTCAATAATGCTTTGCATATTTTCTCATGTTAATGATCACTATACTTGAAATTCTGCTTATTTAAAAGAATTTGAAATAACGTGAACAATATGTATATGATCTTATGTAATCTGTTTAGTACTACTACAAATGTATTGATTACAATAAGGAATCGATAATCATCAATCGACAAACTTGTTCATAGAATATTTTCAAGTAATGATACGATAATTAATGTCAAAAAACGATCTATGTTTTTTATATGTGACTTATTACGTATGTTGATGATTCCATTGCTACTGTATATAAAAAAATGTTTCTATTAAATAAGAAGGTGTCAAATTAATTAGTTTCGATTTAATTTTCTTTACTATCATTCCTATATATATATATGATGACAATTGAATTGATAGTCTGTCAAGAAATACAGAAAATATATGTAGATCTTATCAATCCATTCTCAAGTGTGTATACTATCTTTCTCAATGTATAATAAAAACGTTTCTCTTTGATTAAACCCTTCATCTATAATGATTATCTATTATAAATAATACATTCGTTTTTCAAGATAACGATAGAAAAATTACATATATATATATATAGTATGACACATACAATTTATTCCATTTTGTAAAGACATGTATTTTATTCTGTATGATTAAAAAATGTAAGTAACAGAAAGCTTTTTTTCTTTTCGTTCAATTGAAATTTTTTCATATATTTTCAAGAAAAGAAAAGATTCCCATGATGACACATATTGTGATCGAATGAAACATTATTATCCTATCGACAAAGCAAATACATTTGTTAAATCGATTTATGTGTCCGAAAAAAAAGATGATGAGATGAGAAAATTTTCTTTTACTGTTGTCTATCGCGAATAAATGTATAAAAACTTCGATTTGTCTATGCGCTTGAATAAACGAGTGTATAAAAAGAGAAAAAAAAGGGAGAAGGAGAAGACGAAGAAGAAAAATGATGAAAGAAAGCAACTACACATTAGTTAAATCTCTAGAGTGCTTTCAAAATAGATGGAAAAGAAGAAGAAAAAGAAGAAAAATGTATTTTGAATAATTGAGTGTGTCAAAAAGAAGCAGCAGCATGTGTATGTCTATCTTTATTATTCTTTGAAAACGATGAGCAGATATCACAAACGTCCACATTTAAGGTAAAGTTTGTTAGAAATATATTTTTATTCTATTAATTATACCACAAACTTGTTTAGAAGAATAGATACTTCAGTACCCAATCGCTTGAATTTCCATAAAATTGAATAATCCTTCAATTATATTGTATTTTAAGTTGTGTAACTAATTTCTGTACAAGAGAAGTATCCTAATAATCTGATAAGTTACGATATTACATATCTATGATCTGTTAAAATTTCTAATAATACAAAGAAGTTAATAAATTATAAAAAAAGTGAATAACCATACCGGAACGAGAATTAAAAGAAAGAAAACATTTTGTGTTTACCGGAAAAAAGGCAATTATTTTCCAATTTAACAAAATTATACCTTAGAGATACATAGGTTTTCAAAATTCTCAAGGTTTATGTCTTGAATCAATGAAAGAAACAATTGCCCTGTAAGACAGAAAACGCTTTAAGAGAGAAAGAGAAAAAAGAAGTTACCCAAAAAAATGGAGGTATACTATTAATTAAACTACATACATATGAAATAAGTGATAATGACTAATACTTAAGTTAGACTGTTTAACTCTTTGAAAACGAGCAACGTGTGTATACGTCATCAGTTTTGCGATTGTTGAATTCTCTAGATATCAACTAACTTATTATATACATACTTGTGATATATCTTGAATGATAAATGAAATCTTTTTACTATAGGTTTGATGTATATGCGACACTTCGTCATTATTGTGGTTTCTCTCGAAATGATGATGATTTTGTTGATCGATTATCACGTTATTATTCTGTTTTAATATTTTCTGTTTTTGTCATTATTGTTTCATCTGTTCAATTTGTTGGTAAACCTATATCATGTTTCACTCCTGCATCATTTACTGATGCTCATATAACTTATGCAGATTTTATTTGTTGGATTTCCGATACATATTATATATCAAATGATGCTGAAATACCTGATCCAGAAGATCATGAAGCTCGACAAGGTACAAATGCAATTCGTTTCTATCAATACGTTCCATTTATATTATTATTACAAGCATTTGGATTTTTTCTACCTGGATTCTTATGGCGAAGTGGTTCATTTCGACTTGGTGTTTGTTTACAAAAACATATAGATCAATTAAATATAAGTCATCGTTGTTTAACTGAACCTCCAATATATCGTCGACAATTAATACGAAATGTTGCCGCACGTCTTGATCAATATTTTCGTATGCATCGTCGTACATTTCTACCAAAATTAACATTTCTTTACTTATTTATAAAAATTTTTTATATAATAAATATTCTTTTACAATTAATAAGTTTACATTATTTAATGAATTTTGAGTTTACATACGATGCTTTATTTCAACATTTACTTATTTATAGTACAACAATACGTCATACATCATTACAATTTCCAACCAATGTTTTATGTGATTTTATTGTTCGTTTTCTTGGTAAAAATAAACATCGACATACAGTTCAATGTGTTTTACCAATAAATGTATTTAATGAAAAAATTTTTTTATTTGCTTATTTATGGTTACTTATATTATTAATATGTACAATTTATAATTTATTTATACAATGGATAGTATTTATATTATTTTCTCGACGTATAAAAGATACACGTGCTCGACGTTTACGTCAAATATCATCAAAATTTCGTACAGATGAAGATTTTCAAGAACATGAAACAATACGACGAATTGATTATCAACCAATAACAAAAAATTTTAGTCGACAATATTTACGTTGTGATGGTATTGTTATTATGAGATTATTTGATATGAATATTGATCTTGTTACAATGAATGATTTAATGGATGATTTATGGGAATTATATAAAACTAATCCTATATGAAAATAAAATAATAGATTTCTTTTTTGAAATTTTATGAAAATAAAGTAAAATAATATATTGTATCTATATATATATAAAGAAGAATGTCTGTTTGTTTGTTCGCTATGCATTCAATCCCTGTAATAGCTACGATCACTGAACTTTCCACGATGCTTCCCGAGTCCCCAAGGAAGGTCGACAGGTGGTTGGCATAGCCATTGAGAGGTGGGGAGGGAGAACGTGGGTAAAATTTCACCGAGGTAGTCATGTGATTAGGAGTTGTTATGAAAATAAGTTGGTATATAGGTAGTGACACATCGTTAAAAAAAACTAATGGAGTTGGATTCAACGAGCGTTCAAGTTAATGATAATGAGAAAATGTTTCTTGCTCTACCAAATGTTACTCAAAGAGGGGTGGATGCTTAAACATGGATTAAATAAAATTAGAACTAAATGATGTTTGTTAAATAGTACTGTAAAATTAAAAAAACTATTCACACTTAGATTATTTGTTTTTATTTGCGTTCTTTTAACTATAAAAAGATATTTGAATTTCGCCTAGTCAAAATAATATTTGCATTTTGACTGAAAATATATTAGGCAAAACCGAAATTTCAATTCTGACTAGTCAAATTTGAAATTTGACCTCTCGCATGCATCTATAAATAGCTATGCTAACGTATTTTCAGTCACTCAGTCACTTCTCATTCACTTTTCTTAAATATATCATAGAACAAAGGAGAAACATCAACATTTCTGTTATAATAAGATTTTGACTGTAGTATTATTTCCTTTCAGAAACGAAAACAAAACAGTTAACATTATAAGCAACGTTACAATTGACTATCAATAGCATACAATACGATAACAACAAATACATTCAACAAACACAATATCTTCTGAAGAAAAAATCATGCAACTGATTTTAGAAGGGGGGGGCGAAATTTTTTTTTTGTGAATATGGAGGGACGATACCTGAGGAGGGGGTGGGGGATTTTTTTTTTTGAGCATAGAGGGGCGATACCTGGGGAGGGGGTGGGGGACTTTTTTTGAGTATGAAGGGGCGATACTTGGGGGGGCGATTTTGGTTAAAAGCAATTTTTTGAGTCCAATCGAAGTAGTGTGAACCTATTTTTCGTTTATTTTTGCTGTAAAAAATCAAAAAAAAATTCGGAAGGGGGGGGCGATCGCCCCCCCCCTAAATCCGCCACTGAACCTAGCTACACTTCGAGACAACACAAAACAATTGAGAACTGGTTTTGAAAAAGTTCGTGAAGATAATGTTTCAAAACTCAATGATTGCAGTGATTATATTCGAACCATTGAGAAGTTATGTGACCAAGCAATACAAATCAATGGTGATTTAGAGAATAAACTAGTGAATGTACATAATGAAGAGAGAGAATGGAAAGATATCAAATTCAAATTATCAACAACATTAATTAAAGGCAAAGTTATACTCGATGTTGGTGGTCACAAATATACTACAAGTGTTGATACATTAACACGTGAACAAAATACTTTCTTTGCTGCACTCTTCTCAAGACGATGGAAACTTGAACGAGACCCAAATGATAATACTATCTTCATTGATCGTGATGGAGAATTATTTAAGTATATTCTAGCATATTTAAGAACGGATAAAATATCCAATGATATAATGGCTAATGAATCAATTCGTCAACTTCTTATTATAGAAGCAGAATACTTTTGTATACATAATTTGATTCATATATTAACAGAACCTGAACGAAAACGTCAAGAAGAAGAGCGTTTTTGTATTGAAGAAGGTTTTTCAAATGGAACATTACTTCAGCCAGAACATAAATTGAAACTTAATGAGTTTTATGGTAAAAGTAATCAAAAATGGGAACTAATCTACAGAGCAACTCATGATGGATTTCGTGCTAATGCATTTCATTCATGTTGTGATTACGAAGGGCCAACAATCACTATTATTCAATCAAACAATAACTATATATTTGGAGGTTATACTCGTATTTCATGGACTTCATCTGGACAGTGCGTAAATGATGGAACAGCATTTTTGTTCACATTACGAAATCCTTACAATATTCCACCTACAAAATATACTATCAAGTCTGACCGCGTAGCAAATGCCATTTATCATAATAATGGCTATGGGCCTATATTTGGCAGTGGCCACGACATTCTTATATTAGATAATAGTAACAGCAACAATCGTAGCTATACTAATTTTCCTCAATCGTATAATGATACAACGGGCTACGGTAAAAATACGTTCACAGGAGCTGATTACTTCACTACATCTGGGATTGAAGTATTCAAATTAGCTTAGAACATTGTGTTCACTGCTTGTTATTAAATTCAATGTAGAATAAAGGGTTTAATTGTTCATCTCTAGAATCAATTTTTTATTCTATCGATTTTTTTGTGAGATCAATTGTTTTGTATGTTTCACTTTCTATTAATTGTTCCTTTTGAAAATAAATTTCGTAAATACACCAATATGGTTGCTAAGAGATTTCATTTTTGTACTTCGCCAAATAAAACTACAGAGATGACGTCATTGCTCTTGAACTTCACTAATGCATGATTGATATATTGGATGTCTGATGATATTCCATGACTAAAACTAATTTTATATAAAAGCTGAAAATAGATAGGAGAGAACGTATGTTTTTCGATTATTAGTTACAGATATATTAAATCAAATACTGAAATAGATGTCAAGACATCTACTGACATATACAGATAATCTATTAATATACGATAAAATGAAGTTGCTGAAAATATCTTGTCCTAGAAAGTGCATAGTTGTAATGTCAGAAAAAAACAGTCATCAATATCAAGAATATATATACACTTGAAAGATTGACATACACATCATATTTAATTGATATGGTTAAAGATGTTTTAGAATGATTCAGTAATTTTAAGTGATTATGAAACATGCGTAATTAAACAGACTGTTTCATGAAAATAATGTGATACATTGATATCTCTCCAGATTATAAATATCACGTCATTTCATTATCAGGTAAATCCATTGACATCCAGTGTGTACCATCTGAAAATAATCGTTTATTTTACCTATTTTTATTCAACAACAAAAATAATATTATTTATAGTATCACGTGACATGTCACATATGCAGAAAGATTTATGTAGATATATACAATTTATATTGTATATAAATGAAAATAGAAACAAAAAGCAGCACAAAACAAATGAAAAATTCAAATTCAATCGTTGCTGCTCTCATTTTTGCATCGATCTTCAGCATCGGTAAAAATTGATTGTGTTTCGATATTCATATGATTTCATTTTATTTATAGATGCTTTTGTGATTCCCTCTCAATGTTTATTAAGTTCTAGTATCTTTCAATGTTTAGTAAATCCATGTTTAGTAAGTGTTTCTGTATAAAATTATTTTTCATTTTTATATAAATTCTATTTGATTAGCAAAAAACATGTTCAAGTTTAACACCAGCTTGTATATCTAATTTCTGTGGCGGTTGTTATTTTTCACTATTAGAAGAAAATGGTAAAAAAGTATTTTTTTTCATTTATAAATTGTATCTCTATCAACTATAGATTCACCCAATCCTGGTAATCTTGGCCAAATAAAAGACACTGCACCAGCAAATTCAAACGATTATGGTCGATTCAAGAAACCTTTGTCTATCGTGGATTTTTCCTGGGTATCACCAGCATTATGTAATTTCGTTACAGAAAAAAATTGGCATTTTATATCAATTTCTACACCTCAATATTTTATTGTCAGTACAATTATTAATTTAAATTTTATTGCAAATGTATTTGTCTATGTTTATGATTTAACAAATGGTGACTTATATAATTATACAACAAATTCAATTTTAGCAGTTGATATAAAAGAACGTACTAATTCATCTATTTCAGGTTGTACAGTTTTTAATCGATCATCATCAGAATATGTTAGTCATTGTTATAATCAACAAGAGAATAGATACGAAATCAATGTAAATGTAACAACAAATGATAATATTCAAGTTTCATTTGCATTTCAAATAAATTATTCAAGTGTAAATGATCAATCATTGGTTTTACTTTATCCATTTAAACCAACTCAACCTGCATATACACATCATTTAGCAACACAACCTACACAAGGAACAATGAAAATTGGAAATATTCTTCCGAAAAGTTCATTTACTGGTTTAAGTACAACGGATTGGACTTTAGCTTATCAAAAACGAGTTACTCGTTGGAAATGGTAATTATTTAGTAGTAGAAAATCTATTTTTAATTTATATTATTTTCTTAGGGCTTCATTCTCAGTACAAGCACAAGATATAAAAAACGGTGGATCTGTTACAATTGGAATTAATCTATCTAATGAACTTTATGATGATAAAAATAACATATCGATGGAAAATACAATATGGTATGTTTTATATTATATTAAAATTTTTTATCCATATTTTATTTTAGGATAAATGGTGAAGTTTATACAATTGATGATTTTGTTAATATTGAAACACCATCAGAACAATTCTTAACTACTCAACCATGGTATATTACAACGGTTGAAGATAATCCAACGATCGATCTTCAATTTCAACCAGTGGGTAGTCATCAAGAACATGATAATCTTGTTATAGTTGATATTCAATTTGTTCAAGCATTTGGCTTTTTCAATGGAACAATACAAATGCTTGGTAATACCTATAATATTTCAAATGGTTGGGGTGTTGTTGAAAGCAATTATGCTAAATGGTGAACTAACCACTAATTCTTTTTCTATAAACTTTTCAAAACATTTACATTTCTATCATTTAATATCGTAGAATTTTTTTTGTTTTTTTTGGTATAAGAGGTACAATAACAAGTTTTATATAGTTGATGTCTAAAATAAAGCTTGATTGAAATATTATCTTTACTACTTTGAATAAATCCAATGCCTTCAAATTCACACCCATCAATCATGTACGAATAAAGTCCATGAGAAAAACTTTAGTATCTTTAATTTTCCTTAACGAAGTAAATACGGAAATCTTTTAGCAACCATATTGATGTATTTCTGAAGTTTATTTTCAAAAGAAATTTATTCTACATTGAATTTAATCGCAAGTAGTCAACACAATGTTCTAAGCTAATCTGGACACTTCAATCTCAGATGTAGTGAAGTTCTTAGCTTCTGTATAAGTATTGACTGATTGACTGAGTATTATTTTTTATTTAGTGGAACTGGAGATGCATTGAAGAAACCCATTTGTTTTTTGTTTGTATCATAAAATAAAATTCTATCTGATTTTTTCTCTAAAAGAAGATCTCGAGATTGTTCAAGTTCTTCAATAGATTTGTTTAACCGTTCTACAACTTGTTCTACTGTTGGCCATGGATATTTACCCGATCCAAGATCATGTATTTGTGAATATGAGCGCCACATTTTATGCATTGCAAATTCTAATGCACCTGTTTTTTCTTTTCGAAATGTATCATATCGTGTATGATCAACAACAAATGGATTCGATGACATATAAGAATTAACAACAGTAATTCGAGGTTCTGTACAAGATTCAATACCTGTTACTCCATGAACAATACGACAACCTAAAAAAAAGTAATATATATGATTATATAAAATAAATATTTGATAATTTACCTTGCATAAATACACATGAATTAGAACCAAGATAATCA